AAAAAAAAAAAAAAAAAAGAAAAGAAAATTTAATATCATATTATCCACAATTTATCTATAAATTTGATACTATCTTAAACAGAATTCCCAGTTTCCTTAGGGAAATTTCAAGTTTGCTCTCAAATTCATATGAAAATGCATATAGTAAAAAAACATAGCCAAGACAATCTTAAAAAAGAAGAAAGGGGAGAATTTACACTCACCAGTATAAGAAGTGCTTCTTATAAAGCTGCACTAATTAAGACAGTATGGTCTTGGTGCAAGGGCAGACAAATATACCAATGCACCAGAATAAAGTCCAGAAATAGAGCCAAATAAGGAGGTGACACTGCAGACTGTGAATAATAGACAATCTTTTCAACAAACAGTGCTGCATCAACTAAAATTAATATGGAGACAAAAAAGAATTTTAATCCCTATTTTGTCCCATGCAATAAATAAATAAATAAATAAATAAATCCATGAGGCTTTTAGATCTAAATGTAGGAGCTTAAGGAATAAAGCTTCTAATTAACTGCGTTGGATCATATAACTCAATGTAAAATGCAAAGTTATAAAGCTTCTAGAAGAAGACATGGAGAAAATCTGCATGACATTTGGTGATAAATTTTTATTTTATTTTTTATGGATGCATATTTTACTTATACAGTTTTTGATACAATAGCAAAAAGTACTCAAAATTGAAAAGTTGATTTTATTATAAAAGAAAAATTGATATGTTGGAATTCATTAACATTAAAATTTTTTACTCTTTGAAGACATTATTAAGAAAATGAGAAGATACCAGGATAAAATATTGAAAATCTCATATCTGATAAAATACTTATATGAAGAATATCCAAAGAAGACTTAAAACACAACAATAAGGAAACAAACAGCCCAACTTAAAACAGGCAAAATGTCTCAACAGAGACCTGTGGAAGGAAAATAAATCTTGAGACCCTAAACTCACTAAGTCGAGCTGGAAAATTTTCATGCAAACCTGCATCTCATTTTAGTTCCTAAAGCAGATGGCTGCAAAGATGAAAAGCTATATGCCTTCCTAATATTTTGCCCACAAGGAAATTCCTTGTGGATCCCAAGATCTTTACCCTAAAGCGTTTCTGTTAAAACTCACCATGGCAATGTAAACTGATAGCTTATCTTCACAGGTGCTGGGACATAGGGCAGAACTCAAAGTCATTTCCCTGCCCACCTGAGACAAATGCATATCAGATTGTTTCCTCTGCCCTATTATCTATATTATTTTATGTAAAAATGCAGATTTACTGAGGCAGACAAATGTATGAATGACGATTTTCCTCTACCTGCCCATACATGAAAATTGTGTATTTCTCAATATTCTGCCCTTTCCTTTTTAAATTTGAAACCCTCAAAATCATCTTTAAAAGCAGGCATAGGCCTGTCTCCAGAATGCACATCCTTAAATTTGGCAAATAGATCTGAAATGATTGGGTCTTGCTTTGGTCATTTTCCTTGACTGACATACCTCACTAAGAATATATACAGATTGTAAATAAGCATATGAAAATATGTTCAATATTAATTGTCTTTATGGAAACAGATTAAAACAACACTGAAGACCAGGCACAGTGGCTCACACCTGTAATCTCAGCACTTCCAGAAGCCAAGGCAGGCAGATTACTTGAGCCCAGAAGTTGAAGAGCCACATGGGCAACATGATAAAACCCCATGTCTATCAAAATACAAAAATTAGTGGGGTGTGGTGGTATGCGCCT